AGGTAGTTATGGTAGCAGGAGAAGTAAGGTTAAGGTCAAAAAGGAGGGTGGGTAACATGATTGTAGCAGAGAACAATTTATCTCTTGAAATTACCTCTATAAATCTCTCAAAAATCAATACCAAATGCAGTTTACATAAACCACAGGGAAGCATTAATTAATGTACATAGAAACGAAACTAGTTACCTTCAACCTAATTTACTACTGGCTTACTACTATCTATCCCTAACATGAATGACCAGCCATGCCAGAGTTGTATGTGCCCCCCCCTCCCCAAAGCCTTGGGTGTAATTCCAAATCCCCACCAAATATTATGGTCAATTGTTATTTTTAATGTAGCAGAAAGGAAAATTATTAAGCAGATGTGGAGTGATTATATTAAAAGAACTTTACTGAAGTAATTTTAATAACATTTTTCAATAAATTCAATTATGTTTTTGTCTTAGCCCTGACACTTTTAGGAAAAAAGCAATGTATAAAATGCAATGGCTACCCCCAACTCGAAATGAATGTTCATCCAGGATGCCTGTGCTCCAGGGAATTAGAACAAAGGACTTTTCCCAGTTCTACTTGGAGATGCCAGATATTGGACCTAGGGGTTTGGAGTCTTTTCCCAAAGAATCCATATACCAACCCATAAATCCTGCCTTTATCCTTAGACATCCTAAGGTATCAGGAAAGCAACCAGTCTCTGGAGTTTCCCCTGTTGGACTCTGCCCCTGTCTTAGGTGGATAGCGATGGGGATGCAAGGTTTGGTAATGATGGTCAACAGGAAATGGACCAGGAATGTGACAATTTCACATGAAGCATTTTTTTTGCAACCTCAAGAGTATTTAAAACTAGAGGAAGACTCTCTTAGATTGTCAAAGCCTGTTTGTATATAATATTCCTAGAAACATTGTTTTTGAAATGGGATACAGTTGCCCACTTTTTAGCAATCGTAGCTGCGATAACTAGAATTCTTACCTTGGTGTCTCAGCCGGCTGCGAAGTAATAGCTTGCCCTTCTCTTTCCTTCCTCCCCCCCCCCCCCCGCAAATGAGGTCATCTCCATCCCTTCTCCACATTTCACATGTCCCTAAAGACCTGGCTCTGTTGTCATGCCTGGGGAGTCCCAGAGGACCAGGGAGATTTTGCAATGGCTCTCTTACTATGGTTAATAACATCTTCTCTTGTTTGTGTGTCTTTTCATAATTATGTTTTCATTATGACTGTTCTTATGTATTGATTTCTTTTTTGATAGTGTTGTACATCACCCAGTCTCCTTTATGTGAGATAGGTGGCTATACAAATATGACAGAATAAACAAACAAATAAATAAACAGGACTAGGAGGATTTGACTGCACCCTAGAAACAGCTGCAGAACAGTGGCTGATGAGATAATATTTTAGCAGGCAGATTTTCCATGCTTTTTGTGTTTAAGTGGTGTAAACCCTATTGCTATTAATAGCCTATTCCTCAGAGCTTCAAGTAACCCCATTCCTACTCTCTTACAAACCACAGAACAGGTTTTGCTAGCACCACACTCAGACAGAACAGTGGGGCAATGCAAGAACAACTAGTTTGGCCTCTGAGCTCATTCATCTCCAAGTCCACTTAAGATACATAAGAATTCAGTGAGCCCACACAAGTCTAATATCTGGCTGGGTGATAACAGGACAGCATCAGGCCATGATCACATCTGTCAAATTTCGTTTATAGCCCTTGCATCCTTCCAGGTTCCTAAGTCCAGCTTAAATAGTAAGGTATATGGTAGTAGGTATATGGCAGGAAGAAATATTTGCAGAGACGAACCCTCCTCTCTCTAACTCTTGATTCAGGCATAGGCTACGTTGAGATAAACTCCATCATGCTTTATTAATGACCATCACATGTCTCTCTAATGTGATCTCTGTGTACACTGCAAACAGCCAATTCATTAAGAGAAACCAGCAGGGCTGAGGAAGGGCTGTGCCAATTATCAGGCTAAAGCTTGGCAGCTCTATCAAAGCCAGCATCTGTCTTGATCTCATGAGGGGCCCAGGCAAGTACAGCTGGTCGTGTGAGCTTCAAGGACAGCCTGAGCAACACAAATTTCCCACCACTCCCATTCTGCCCCCATTCACAGCAGCTTCAGAACAGGGCTTCACATTGGCTGAGCAGTCTCTCAATTGAAAAGCACTGATTCTAAGCCCAGACTGCCAACCCTTGTAATTTTGCAGCAAAAATGGGGGGGGGGGATTTTTAAACCTTGGTCTTCATACTTGCCCTCAAAAAGCTTAGAGAAATGAAGACAAAGCATTCTTATTTTACTTCCTGCCCTATCCTCAGCATGATTAATTCTGGTCTTCCTCTCCCTGGTGCCCTCTAGACCAGTATTTCTCAACCTTGGCAACTTTAAGATGGGTGGACTTCAACTTCCAGAATTTCTGGAATTCTACCCATTTTAAAGTTGCCAAGGTTAAGAAACACTGCTCTAAATAATTATGCTGATTGGGAATTCAGGGAGCTGCAGCCCCAATACATTCAGAAGACACCAGTTTGGGAAAGAACTATCTTTTCTTAAATTCACATTAGCTAAAAATTCTGGAAGCTGTAGTGCTAATACAGGGTGTCAAACTCATGGTCTGCAGCCCAATGCATCACGTGATGGCCACACCTGCCCCAGGTTTAGTGAAGGAGGGAAAAGTTGTGATACATCACATGACAACGTGTCATCATGAGTTTGATACCCCTGTCCTAATACATGTGGAAGGCACTAAACTGGAGAAGGCTGACCAAATTGTACCAGGTCAACTTCCTGTTTTATGAAGAAATGCCTTCACCAAATTATAGATACTAAATTATAGATACTACTAGGTCAATATTACATTCATCTTGCATTGCTTTTCATGGCATTCTTTTGAAAATCCTGGTAGCTAATAGAATACATGCCAAATGTGAGGTTTCTCAAGAGGTGTATTATGAAATTATTGTGACACCTTTTTGGCAACTGTCAGAGAGATACTACATCTGATTTAAGTGTTATCATACATTTTTCTTGTTCTATGCAAGTTAACCATGCTGTCCCATCCCCCCACTTCACACGCACAGGGGACTTGTGTTTCCCAAAAAATAAAAATAAAATCTTTTTTGTGAAGTCAAAAAGCATGATATTCTCCCACTCTTCTGCTATATGCTACTATTTTGGCCTCACTGTGAAAAAGGGAGATTCTATCAGTTTAGAGAGCTACAATTTCTTTGTCAAGCACTACCAGGTAAAAAGGTTTTCAGATTAATATTTTGATCTTCCTTGAAATAGTCAGTTTTTCTTAAAGATAGTAATTCTGAAAAAAAAGTATTCTGATATTTTAAAATTGTATGCCTTAAATATATAAATAAATGTAGATTTAAATGTAGTTGACAATTATTTCTGAAAGCATATAAAATCAAAGGAGTGTCCTGGTGGTGGTTATTTTTAATTTTTTTCTTCTATTTAGAACCTGAATATGCTTTCTGTTAAACAGGAAGGAGCATCTCATTCCTTATGAACTTTCATTTCTCTCCAAGACCAGAAATCATTCTTGAAACCCAACTGATCACAAGATAAGGAACAAGTTTGTTTCCAGATAAAATCTTTCTTGACAGCTATGCTGTCTCGTTCACAGAACACAGACTTTTTCCAATACCTTTCCAGACCATTGTTGTATGGTAGATTAAGTTTTCTTACTATTGTAACTTTTTCATTTAACTGAAAAATAATCCACTAAGAAGTGCAGGATAGCCATTTTTCCATTGGTATAAAAACCCTGAAAATACAAAATGATATACCTGATTGAAAACTTCTTTTTCTGTGAGTTGCCATTTATTTCAGGTTGCAGTGCTATTCTCTGCTGTATAGAGCAAGTCCATTCTCTGACTCAACTTAATTTGAGTTATAAAGGTAGCATTCCCACTGAACATACCCATTTCCATCACTGTGTAAGCAAATATTGGCGAGGACTAAACAAATATTATGCCTGGCTATAAGCCATGGTTTTCTTATTACTGCTCCATTCAATTGTATGTATTATCCATACATTTTTATTGTAATCAAAATGTCACTATTCCAAAGATGAGACATTCTTAAACTGTACAAGAACAAGCTATCTTTCTTTATTTTTTAAAAGACAAAACTGACAGATATCTTGTCATTAATACCCTTCTCTTCTTGCTTTTAAAGAGTGGAGAGAAAAGTGGCTTTGGCTATAAAAGTTAGGTGGGGAAAAAAAAAAGAGGACAAATTTGAAATTGACTAGAAAATCAAACAGGCATTTTTCCTAAAAAAGAAAAGTCAAGAAAAGTCATCATCCTAAAGTTTACTCAGAATATTGCAAGAAGTATCAAGCCTAATTAAAATTAAGCACAAAACAAGGAACTGATATGGTTATCAATAAGTGTTTTTTTTTGGAAGAGATGATGTCTAAGTCTAATTCAGAAAGCAAAGAGGACCTTACTGGTTTCTCAATTACATGGGATTTTCTGCATGGAAAAGAGAAAGAAAATGCATTCTGTACCAATAGTTATGGTCAACTCTAAGAGCCATGTCTTTAAGTCCCCCCACATATCTTCTCCAGAAGGAGATGAACAAATTTGCCCAAACTAGATTGGTAAATGGATCTTCCTTGAATGATGAATTTGTAGAACTGTTAACTTGGGTTCTTATTTACCAAAATCTCTCCTCCCACTCCTTTGAAACTCCCCTTCTCAGCATAAACTCCAACATACCTAAATAGTAGAGAGAGAACTTGCCCGTCCTTCCAATAACTATTAGGCATTTACTTCCAGCAGCAATATGAACAAGTTCTTCTTTCTTATGTTGTCAAAAGCCTTATAAGGCATCCCACCAGCACAGTTATTGTCACTTCAATTTTACAAGAGACTGGCTTGTCAAGTATCTCTTAACTCCATACCAATAAAAAGCTTCACCGTCTCAAGTCATTTAGTCACCCTAAGGAAAAAAAATGGAAGGGGGAAAAGGGTTGCAAAAGCATTTACAGACCTGGCAATACCAAGACCTCACTGGACAGCTCTTCCACCTGGAAACCAAGAAGCTGACAAACTAAAGAAGGGGCATCCCATGGTCTTCTACCCAATCATGGGCCAAGAGATCTCCAGGATATACCTGGGGCGATAGAAGAGGAAGCTACAGTCCCTGAGGCCACCAGCATTTCATAGTTTCTCCGTCTGAGCTACAATCTCATAGGATTCCAGCCTTGGAGCCGGCTTGGGCTGTACCAATCACAGCTACATAGGGGGAGAGGGAGGAAATAATCCCAAAATTGTAGCCACTGCTAAGAGACAGGCAGAGCAATAGACAACTGAAAGAAGCCACCAATGGTTGGTCAGCCAAGCTAATTTCTAATCTCAAAGTAAGGAAGAATTAACCCTGGAAGTATCAGAGAGGGTTATAGCTCTCTTTCTGGCACTCTCTTTTTCACCCTACAGTGGAATGCCAATGCAAAGGGATTTCCAAAACTAAAAGCACATAGCTCCACATACCGGTCATTTGGGGGTAGTAAGAAAAAGGTGAGCCTCAAAAAAACTCTCCTGTTCTGATGTCCACATGTCGGTGTGCACACAAATGCAACTAAAACAAACAAATGTGCTTTCGTTTCCTTGAGGGTTGTTAAAAGCAGTGTAATATATTCTTTGCCACATAGTTTTCACTTTTCAGCTGTGTGATATACATCCCTACCTCCTAAATCCATTCCACCTAGAAGCCAAAGACTTAAAGCAACCACTAAAACATTCCAACAAGCCACTTCTAATCATCAGGCATTGTTACTTCCCAAGCTATGCTGCAATATCTAATTTACACAGTTACCATAATCTTGCAAACATGTGAAGCCAATTGGGAACTGAAATTGGTCTGGTTTTACAATGTAACAGGGAGAAAAAAGGCAAAAATCTGCAGAGAATAGAGGCAGATTGAAGGTGGAAGCAGGGCGAGCTTTATTTCCAAGAGCTGTAGTCACTGAATATTTATCAACAATGACCTCCAAGGAGCTGCTGTCTCCTCCCACTCTCTGGGTGTCACAGAGTATCTTTCCCAGATATAAAAGGCCCAGGAGTGTCACAGTGACAAGCATCTCATCTCCCTCCCTGGTCTTCAAAGGCAGCCGAGATGAAAACCCTCTCGAGCAAATTCTATCTGGAAGCTTAGGATGATATTCACATGGGCAAACAAGGCTAGATTCACAGTTCATCATTCAGGACTGCTTAATGCAGGTGTTGCAAAAATGCAATCACCATGAGAAGGCAACAAATAGATACAGAACATCCCAACCTTTTGCTGCCACCTCATAATCATCTGGACATTTGCAGATCTCATAGCTGAGTTCACACACTGCATTACCTTAGTGCAAGATGTAAAGCTGTCTACATATAGAAACTGATTTCTTAGCAATCTAAACAGAAATTAAATTCCTGTTGCTGGAAAAAAATAAATAAGCCATGATCCAATTCACAATGGATTCTTTGCAGTCACCTTCACCTCCTAATAAGGATCAATGTTTTATTCTGACTTGCTAGAAAATTACTTGAAATATATTACACTTTTCACCTGTTTTTATTTTTGTTTTCAGTTCAGTTCAGTTTATTGTATTTATATGCTGCCCTTTCCCCCCGAAGGGGACTCAGGGCGGCTCACAACTCAAACCAGGGAAGGGGGATACAGACAAAAAGTTAAAAAAAACAAAACAAAGCATAGCAATGCATAATTTAAAACACAACAGTCATACCATTTGAGTCTAGAGGGTTGTGCCTGCATGGCCCCATGGGAGCCTGACAACCAATCAGAATACAGTTCTTACACAGGAACAGGAAACAGAGAGGTGGGACCGAACAGAGAGTATAAAACCAGGGACTTTCAGCATCTTGGTCTCTTTTACTTCTTCACCCAACATCTGGAAGCATGTGATCCCCCTTTTCTGT